ATAAAATATAAAACGTAAAACGACGTTTCGGAGATGGGGATCCATCTCCGCCTTCAGGTTCCTACTCAGTTGGGCCCACTAGATAGAGCCCCATCTCCGAAACGTCGTTTTACGTTTTATATTTTATTGACTAGATGATGGATAATATCCAAGAATATTTTTATTCAAATGACTCATCGCCATCGTCAAGAACTTTTAGATTTGACCTCATGAACTTAATCATCACCAGTTTCAGTCTTTTTTGTCAGAAACTGTTGCTAAATATGAGGACACCTTGTACCATACATGAGTCTGATGCCCAACTCATGGGACAGTGTTGAAATGTTGTGTAGCTTTTGAGACTAGAAAAGAAATGTTCATGCATGAGAAAGGCAACATTGTGGATGAACTTAGTAAGGAAAAGTAACTTTAGCATTTATCATGCTGAATTTTGTATAAAATTTTCAACTAGGAATCTCTCATTACCTTTAATGCTTCTTTACCAGTATCTTGATTCACTGAATCATGTTAGTTACTACAAAATTTGACTAGTATATTTAAAACCTAATGTTAATTCTCTTGCAGAGCAAAGCCAGGCTCAAGTTTCACATTAAAAGGTAAGTTTAGGCTATTTTTATTGTAATGTTTACATTTTGTTGGTTATCTGAAAGCTCCCACCCTTGTAGCATATTATATCTCTCAATGTGTCCTGCCTGAAAGGTTGAACATCCTTAATGCGGGGAAACTTGAATCAAAGGGAGAGAAAAAATAAACAAAAGTATAGAAGCTGTGTTTCACATGCAGATGCTCAAGGCACTGAAGAACGGGTCGCTTAAGTATCCTAAGTAAGTAAGTTCAAGTGAACAGAATGTGTAAAAATGTAACAGGGAGAAGAACAAAGAATTCAACATCACACACAAGGATGCTACACTACAGAGTTTTTTAATGCTTAATCTCAAAATCCTTGATGCATCAAAACCTCTTATACAAACCTAACTTATGAGTTCCTACCACTCTCCTTCAATATAACACAATAAATTAAACAATTTGTATCCAAGATCTCAAATTAAATTAATATACTACAAAAATGCAATTCAATTTCAACTGCTTAAGAAGATGAAACTGAATGTCATTACATTTAATGATGCATCATAAAATCCATAAAAACTTGTGCACAACATTCTAAACATTATTAATTTTCACTGAACTGCAGCATACCATATACCTAATTCTTGTAGACAATCCCATATTTTATGAGCAAGATCAGTTCTTGTGGCTGGAAGCTCATCAGGCAATAAGTCACCACAGCACTGAAGAAACAGTAGACCATGCTGGTCTACAGATATTCCTGCAAACATATGAATCATGTAACTTCCACTTCTCTTTCGCCTTCTAGCATCACTTTCACTGTATGTGTGTCAATGGTTATATAAGACATTTAAATATAGTATAACATTAAAATGCTCTGATCTACTGTTTTCTTCTGGGGACCACTAATTTGTAAGGCTTCAAGTCATCTAACAGATGTCGGGGAATTTCTTCACACTCATATGTATTCTTAGCACAAAATGCATACAATTAACACATAATAAGACATTATGCTGATGTTTCATCTCCAGCAGTACAAAACACATGTAAATAGAATTTATTATTGAGGTTATACGCTGAATGTTGTGTGATGAATTTAATTTCTGTCCAATGGGTCTTGGCACATACTTTACAAAAGCTCATATTAAGCTTCTTCACAACTGGCTCATCACAAACAAATTCTTATAGGACAAAATACACACATCATTTTCAATGCATTAAAAAAGAAAATGGTAACACAGCTTTGGGTTGTGACCCATGGGTTAAGAAACCATGTGCTAACCTGTTAATATACAATAGCAAACCAACTTGGGCACCTTCTGAATACACACTAATTGCAGCACAAACTGAATTCTATCTCGTATGTACTGAGATAATGGAAGGCTCTTATTGTAGGCCAACTATATAATTACGCAATTATTACTAACCTTCTCTCTTGATATCTAGCAAAATTTGCTCCAAGTCAGACTTATATATCCTATTTGATTTCTGAACAGAAGAATTCAAAATCAGGAGTGACCTTTTAATATGTCTACTGTTACTGTACTGTGTTTCACTTTCGGTGAATCTGAAATAAATGGATACACATGGACTGCATAAGAGTTTCCACAAAAACTTATTCAAAACGAAATCACAAAAAGACACGACTATAAAATTAAATAAAAATAAGGAACAGAAACAAGAAACTTGGAATAAATAGAATAATAGAACATGGGAGTTAGTGGGCATATGTGAAATGCTTTTATTTGATTAATGTAGCCTCATATTTCTTCAAATATGGCATAATACCTTGTTTTATTCTTAAAGTTGATGTTAGATCCTTTATCAAAAGCTCTACTTTGAGTCAAATTCTGTTCTGTAGTGCGAAGTCTCACAGGTTTGAGGTTATCAAACACTAACTGGCCCAGTTTAGCTTTGCAAATAGTCCCAGCATTAATAGAGTAATTTCTAAGCACATATAGTTTATTCCACAATCTTAAGGAAATCATTCTAAACTTTCAACAGGCGTGCAATAACCATATTATAAATGTATGTATATTATTTATAATTTCAAACAAACGCCTTCTCCTGCCATTCCAACAGTGCCACAAGCACGCAATTAAATATCCTCCAAGTAGAGTTTGAGATTTTCACGGCGGTGTGTCTGAAGACGGCTGTCATCTGGGTTGTTACGCCGTGTAACCTAGCCTTGCTACCTCCATCATCAGGGCGATGTTGGCCCTGAGGATGTAGGCAGCAAGGACCTCTGAAACATTAGTAAACTTCTACCAGACGGACTATACGGCGCAACAATCGAGATGATAGACATCTTCAAATATCCTCCACTAAACCAAATTTCTACAGTATTTATTACTGCCTAGTAATTACGGAATATTAATATAAGATTACTAATATATATAGCGTTGTTAATTTGTTTACGCTTATTCACTTGACCGTTAATTTAAGTTAAATTTTAATTCAATTTAATAAAATTTTTACAATACGACTGTCAAATTTTATTTCGGTAACACCAACCTATATTTCTCTGTACCGCGGCGAACCTCTGCATGGAATTTTTGCCTTCACAATACCGTCATATTGGCAATGCTGCATCAGGTGTACATATTTTGTATATGAGTGTTTCCTGCTTTTGGATGCCGCGTTTTCAAAATAGGCGGGAGGTCTTTATTGAAATTTAATACAACAGATTACAGTAGTATTTATTTTTAACAATAATGAATAGTACGTTACATATTGAGATCGTACAGCGACAACACAGGTATATATATATGAATCTCTAAGAAGTTTATGTGATTTTAATCAGCAACAGGTATGTACTTATATTTCTTTCTTTATTTATTTAGCTGTCTAGATAGAAATGAATTATTGAGAAACGTGAAGAAAGTAACCGTGGATGGCCTTATTACTTCAGGAATGACCATGAGAAGTTTCAACAATTCCCTTCTTAATGAACATGTAGAATCCATAATGTTTAGTGAATTCAACAATGAAGAAGGCAAGGTAACAAGTGAATAAAATATAGTGGCAGGACTTTATTACGTGCCGTGATAAGTGATATAAAAAGTGACAGCATACAATGAAACTTGAACTTTGTTATTCCTTTTATTTCAGGCAAATATTCATTCCAAACTTACAATGGTTTTGGGTAAATCATTGATCTAATAGTTTACCTGCCCAGGGCCATGGATGATCAGCCCTACTTTGACTGCCATATCCAAACAGTTGAAAGTAAATATAAAGTAGGAACTAACTACTCTCAAAATGTTTGCAGGTTATTGACTTTAAAACTGTAAACGTCCGATACTATGTCTATCGACTCAATGTGGAAGGACAACAGACAGAAGTAATGGATGGAGGTGATGGAGAAGATGATGAATTGTCTGCAGCCAGTCACTGGATACTTCCATCTGTTGACTTCCATGGTCTTTGGGAAAACTTAATCTATGATTCTACAATTAAAGAAAATGCAAGTTTTTAATTAGAATTATGTAGCATATCTGAATGGTATGTTTCAAAAGGTGTTACAAGAGCATGCTCTTACTGTAGGTATAATCAGAACTGTTACTGTCATCAAGGCGGTTGATCAGGAATCATGATCTGTTAGTAACTTCATGTATTCATATTAATAATTTGAACAAACATTTTCATCTATTTAGCTCCTCAGTTTTGTGGAAACAACAATCCTGTTTTCTGATTGTAAAGTCAACACTAACATCATCAGCTGGAATCGAGTTGTGTTGCTCCATGGACCTCCTGGTACGGGGAAGACCTCGTTATGCAAAGCTCTGGCACAGAAATTAGCCATACGTCTTGGACATCGTTTTACTCATGGAGAGCTCATTGAAATAAACAGTCACAGTTTGTTTTCAAAGTGGTTCTCGGAGGTATGTACTATACAGTTTTAGTTCAATTGTGTTCAAACATTATGATGTGACAGCACTTCTCTTTCATATTTTAGAGGTCATTTGTTTGAGCCTCTCTCCAGACACCATGTCTTCTGAAATTTTAGTGAATTTCCCCTAGCTTCTCTAGATAAACTAGGATATCTTAAAACGGGCTATTATCACTTCCACATTCTTATTTTGTTACTGATAATCCTCCTGTTATTTCCTATTTGATGCCATATAACCTATGTATTTTACAAGCGATTGTTAAGGACAGAAGATACATCTTGGCCTCTATCCAACAAATAAAGTGAAGGAATAAATTTTTTTACATACTGAATGCATAAAAATAAGATTTTGTCCCTCCAAGTGATTCACTGATAGGCAGCAGAGGGTTGCCCCATACTTTCCACAAATTTTGCCTATCTCAACCATCTTGATTTATTCATGTAACCATATTGAATTAATAGTTCAAATTACAGAACTCCTTATAATGTAATGTTCTCCATTACAATTCCTCAGTTCCTTCAAATTGCCCTCCTTCCTTCTATAGATGACATCTTTCCTAAACTGTTGTTCCCATCTTGATCTGCCTTCCTCTTCGGCATTTCCTTTCTTTGAATTCTCTCCATTCATTCTTGTCAACTTCTTTTGTATCCTGGTGTTATCCTTAGCACCTTGTCCTCAAACACTTCTAATCTCCTTCTGTACTTCCCTGGATGTGAAAGTCAAGTTTGACACCCATAATTTTTAATGACATTAACATATAAAGAAAAGCACTGGCATTATGGAAATTGCCTTTTATTGGAATCACTGTAATAATATACTGTACTTATTTGGAAATTTACAGAGCGGAAAACTGGTGTTGAAAATGTTCACAAAGATACAAGAATACATTGAAGATCCTCAAGCACTAGTGTGCGTTCTCATTGATGAAGTGGAAAGTTTGACGCACGCACGGCAGTCAGCGCTGGCAGGCACTGAACCGTCAGACTCGTTAAGAGTAGTAAATGCTGTACTTACGCAGATTGATCAGATTCGAAGGTCAATTAACTACCAAATACAGTGCATATTTATATAAGTATTAGTTCAGTAGTAAATTGCACGTGTTTGATAAATACATAAAACATTCAAAATGCACAGATGTTTGATTTTTTTATTTCTTTTTGAGTTCTGAGTTCGTAATAAATTATTTGTGTTTATATTTCAGATATCCTAATGTTCTAATTCTGACAACTTCAAATATAACGGCTGCAATTGATTTAGCATTTGTTGATCGAGCAGATATCAAACAGTATATAGGACTTCCGTCAGTGCATGCCATCTACAAGATATATCAGTCCTGCATTCTGGAATTGAAAAGGGTAATCATATGAATATTTTCATACTTGGTAAGGTTTGTAGACTTCTAAGTATCAGGTAAAACTCCTAGCAGCAATGGAAAAAGAAGTTGGGATGTCAGTAACTTGTTGATACTGTGCCTTAGGTTCTATCTAACTAACGAACTAGATGGCTTACCGAACCCGAAGGTTCATCACCGAATTAACCAAAGCCCTCCACCGGACCCTGTCCTGGGCCAACAAAATCCAGTCTCCTTCAACTCCTATCTCCCGTAGATCCCGCCTGATATTATCCTCCCATCTACGTCTAGGTCTCCCCAGCAGTCTCTTCCCCTTAGGTTCTATCATATATTTTAATTTTTAGATGCCAAAAGAATCCAGGTTTTGTGTCTGAATATTTGTCATGATTGTTGAAACCACCGAGTATAAGAGATGTATATGGTACAGACACTTGAAGAGGATGAGAGAAGTAGATGGCTATAGAACAGGGTGCCAGCAGAAAGGAGGAAGAAAGGTAGACCATAGAGAAGTTGGAAGGACAATGCAAATGAAGACATGGAACTCGGGAAACGTTACGAGGGAGGCTGTCATGACTGAAGAGGAAGCAAGAAGTGGTTACAGCCATAGTCCCGTGCTCTGTACCAGTGGTTTTTAGTGCTGAAGAACCCTTTTGGTGATAAAATAATATCACAGAGCCTTTGAAACAAAAACATAATGCTTTTATAAAAAATATTTGTTTTTATGTTGTAATTAATGCGATTGATGTATCTGCTTGCTGGCCACGATGGAGTTGAAGACAGGTCCAGTGTTGGAAACCTGCATCAGTAATTCGTTATTGTTCCTGAATATCTTGAAAACACCATTTTGCAGTTATATGGATTTTATGTTTAGTTGAAAGTAAATGTTGGTATGCAAGCTTCATTATTTCTTTTCAGGTGATGTCATAGTTATCTTTAGTAATCTTCCACTTTGTCCATAAATTTGTTGGGTGTAGTAAGTGGTCTTCTATGGCTCTCCGGTCCATATTCAGTCCATGGCCTCCTCAATTCTCCTCTTCCATTCGGTTCTCTGTTAGGTCCGTCTGTCCAAGGCTTTGATTGAGGTGTAGTAAGTTATCAGTGTCAACATGTATCTAGCAAATCTCATGTGAGCTGCCTTTAGTCATATTTCTTAATATCCACTATAGTATTATATCTCATTCTTGTTCTTCCAAGCAGTGTAAGTAATTACCAAGTTGGTGGGCGTGTGCTAGCATTAACAGAGTGATTGTGACTGGTTGTGCTTCAACTGGATATTTCTTGTTATGTTCCAGACGGGCATTGTTACATCAATAGACAACATTGTTCCATTTAAGTACCTACAGTTGCCACGGACAGAGCATGACAATACAATGGCCTTCCAACTAAGTATGCAACTATTTTCAATTGCCAGGTAATACACAGAATAACAAGATCTGTATCTGTTATATGCAATATTGTATTCATATTGAAACAGTATATATTCATACGAAACCATCTCTACCAAAACATACATGGAAGAAACTACTGCTGAGCAGACGGACCAAGCTTTAACATGACTTGTGTTCATGGTTCATCAATTTGATGCATGCTCAAGGTTCTACTAGAAGGGCGGTAGATTTATCACCTCCCTAAGCAATGCAGCTTACCTTATTTGATAGAGGAGTCTCAATTAGCTGACCTCTTGCTTCTAAGCAAGCCTTGCTCTTCTTCTATGGCTCTCCGGTCCAAATTCGGTCCATGGCCTCCTCAATTCTCCTCTTCCATTCGGTCCGTCTGTCCAAGGCTTTAAAACATCTTCTTTTTACGGTGCAAGGTTGTTAGGCTTGCGACCAACCCCCAACCTGGAGTACCAGGGTACCTGTCTTAGTCTGACCTCTCCCCCTCGACCAATCTGGCTAGGGAGGCCCTACCAGTAGCTATGCTATCGCCAGCATAGATAGCAAGCCTTGCACCTTCTAAAATTATTTCTTGACATATGATGGAGTTCCTATCTTGAAATATTAGCAGTCTCCCTTGGAATATTGCTAGTTTTTGAAAGAATGCAAAGTACCATCTGCACAACACACAACATCGCAGTCTCAAAATTTGAATGGAAGAATTTAACAATTTGTATAACATAATTTTGTGAGACATTTACATAGACACACTTCAAAAACAGTCTTATGTCTTGGTAAATAGCGATACATAAAATACCAAATGCAGCCACCAAGGTGTTTCACACGACATTAAGAAGAATAATGTAGTTCAATACGTATGTTGAGATAACGGACAGCACTGCATTCAGCGTTAAAAATTGTATAAATATTTATAATTAATTCTCTGAATATCCAGGTGTGCATTTTAAGCAACAAATTTGAGACAAATAATTGCAAATATAATATAAATAGATTATGGACAGATACCAGGTAATATCACACTGTTGTGAGACAGTGGTGATGATGGAGGAAGCCTGTTTGTCCTGTATACAAGATGTATACTGTCCTGAGAAATGTAATAGAAGCTAGTTGGTTAAATTTGTGACTCAATTCACAATCCTTACAGCCAATGCAATTCTTAAAGCATTGTTACATAAAATAAGACAAGCCTTTGCAATTCTCTAGACAGAATCATCTTTCATATCATCTGATGCTTCTTAATGCATATATAGACCAAAAATAAATCCTTTGTGTGATTGAAAATTTCAATCTCTATTTCATATTATGCCTTATATCACTGGAAATCGGTTTCGTTTTCACAAAATTTTTGTTTCCGTCTTTCTTGCAGACAAAGTGAAGGTCTCAGTGGGCGAACACTACGCAAGATTCCTTTCCTTGCTCACGCATATTACATTCAGGTACCACAAGTTTCATTAGAAGATTTTATAAACGCAATGCATAAAGCAGTCATCAAACAACTATCAGACAGAAAAGATTTTTCATAAGTGTAAAATGTGTTTTAAGTGTGGCAATTTCTCATGTTCATGTCTGGTGAAAAACTGTAAATTGTTCAACTGTTTATGTTTGTCAAAAGACATTAATTTAATCTACATTTCAGAAAAGCACGATTGCAGTGAATTTCAACAAATGTATCTACGAGGCTCGTCCACAAAGTAAGTTTCCCTGGGGCCGTTTACAGAAACAAAACACAATTTCATGGAAATATTTATTGCAACAGATACAGCAAGTGTCCAGCTATTTTTCAACAGATTCGCCACCGGAATTGAGACATTTGTCATACCGTGGGACCAACTTTGGAATACCTGTGTCGTAGAAGTCTGCCGCCTGGGATTGGAACCACTGTGTGACAACCATCTCTGCCTCTCTGTCATTCTCAAAACGCTGACGCTGACCGGACAGGAATTTCTTGAGGTGTAGGAAAAGATGGAAATGACTGGGAGCGAGGTCCGGGCTGTAGGGTGAATGATCAAACACCTCCCAGCTGAACTCCTGCAGGAGACTCGCTGTCCGTCGCGCAATATAAGGTTTGCTAGCTGTGGGACGAGTGGGAAACTTGCTTTGTGGACGCGCCTCGTATTTATGGATTGTGTGGGAAGCAGACATGTCCTGACATCTAACAGATTATGAAATGTGTCAAGCATCTTTGAATAGATACAAAATACCACAATTCATGTACTTCAATAAATGTTACTAATTTTAGACATAAAAATATTAGTGATAAAGGAGGAAAAAGATTTGAGCCTTGCTCTTTCTATGGAAATACCATGACAATAGTTTGATATGTACAACAGTTGCAACCTCCTACATCCCTTTCCATTATCCACAGGCCTACATAATCTTCCTCTCACTTAATCCTAAATAACCTCTGTATTTGATACATCATTATTAATCTACAAACCACAAGTTTTGCTTATTATGCCATCCAGGCTGTAAAGTCTTAACTTGATACCATATTTACTAGTACGCGTTTTTCCTCTTTTATGCATTTTTTGTAAATGTATATAAAAT